GAAAACCATGCCGCCCCTCCCGCCCCTGCCCCCCCTTTCTCCCCCCCCCCCCCCCCCCCCCCTTCAACCTCAGCCTACCAGACAGTACCTCAGAGTCTGACACTGAATATAAAGCTCGAGGACGGCAGCTCCTTGCTCCACATGCTCCCAGCCCTCTCCTCCTCAGAGGAACCTGCCTCTGTTCGTCTCCCTCCACACCTGGACTTCTTCAATCCAAAAAAAAAGAAAAAAAAAAGAAAAGAAAGTGAGAAGTGAAGATTGAGATAGGCTGCCCCCTGCCGGTGAAACTAGAGTAGTGAGGTTTCTCAGGTGTCAGGTATCTGAACCTCCACTGTCACAGAATGACAAAGTGTTTGGTTGGTTTTTTTTCTGTCATGATTTCCACTCTGCTCTGACCACAGATTTCTTCTTCTTCTTCCTCTTCCTCTTCTTCTTCGTCTTCTTCAGGAAAAACCTCGTCCGCTGACGATGACGTTCAGAAGTCGGACGTGTCCTCAACAGGGCAGGGGGTTATTGACAAGGACCACTTGGGGCCACTCCTGCTGCAGGTCAGTGTCTCTGCCGTGAACTGGTGACATTTACTGAAGGTTTGAATCTCCGACCTGACGCCGTCTTCCTCTTCCTCTTCCTCTTCCTCTTCCTCTCAGGCTCTGGACGGCTTCCTGTTCGTCGTGAACCGCGAGGGTAGCATCGTGTTTGTGTCGGACAACGTGACGCAGTACCTGCAGTACAAGCAGGAGGAGCTCATCAACACCAGCGTGTACAACATTCTCCACGAGGACGACAGGGAGGAGTTTCACAAGAACCTGCCGACGACCACCAGTGAGCGCACACACACACACACACACACACACACTGACGAGGAGTAGGGGGGGCGGGGGCTGCTGCTCGTCCGCCGGGGCCCTAGGAATAAAACAAACTTTGAGGGGTTACAACAACGGTGCGCTCACGTCGACTTTTATTCCTGCTCCTCGGCTCGCTGGGTCAGAAATTAGCAGAGGCTCAGGGTTAAACAGCCAAGAAATGCATAGAATTTTTGAAATATTAGCTCAAAGCTAACACCCCCCCCACCCCCCGTTGTTGAAGGAACTACGTTGACACACATGCTGCTGTAAGTCCTTCAGAACTGAACTTTAATTCTCACTGACTGACAAATTAAATTCATCAATGGCCATTTAAAGAAAATAATAAAACTTTTTTAAAAAAGTATTTGCCCTGCTTGACTCATCCCATCACAATACGTCTATGCTCACCGAGGAGGGTGCGCCCCCCAGTATGAGGACCACTGGCTAAAATAAGAGCAATAGGCTAGCATAGATTTTAAACTTCAAATACAGTGCAAAAAAGTTATATAAATACATAATAAATACATTCGATTTCATCTTATTGACTGAAGTCTAGTACAGATAATACG